ACAAATAAAAAGATGTACAACAAAAAGGTTTCCAAACCATTCCCCTGTGTATAACTATGGTAGAAGGCAGTATTTTTCAAACAGCACTGCTTTTTTCGATCTCCACACTTCGAAAATGTGGCGCCGACCCTGGAAATGCACGACTTTGACTTCGATGCGTGGACTGGGCCTTAATCTATATATTTTAATTATATATACTAGTTTAACGCTAGTTCCCACCACTTAATTTATATACCGTTAACTCTCTTTGAACGACCACTCTAGTAAACGACCATCTCTCCCATAAGCGACCACCTTTTAAATTTCCCGTTTTGTTCAGTTTCCCATATAAACTCTCGACCACTTTTTCTTGATCCCGAGATGGTCGCTTACGAGAAAGTTGACTGTATCTGAATGTTTTCTAGATTTCAAGTATTCTGTTGCAATCCTCTCCACTGTTGTTGTCGGTGGCATCATCGTCTATCAGGTAATGCGTGTAATAATCCATAGGGCAGAATTCTATTGTTTTAGGTGCCATTTTGGGTGTGATTCGATTTCAGCTCTCGGAAGATATGATACAACTAGGAAATTGCCAGGCGAAACTGCCAGGCGAATTCGGAAAAGGTCTAACATCCATATCAAGATTCTCATGAATGATTACGTATGATTTATTTTATCTTAATAATTAAATTTTTGAACTTTCTGGCTGATTAGCTGAATATATGATTTATATTTATTTCATTGATCGTAACAACTACGGTCTGGTTTTCGCTGCTATAAGCAAACGGGATTAGAAGAGATGAAGATGGTGTTTTCCTTTGTTTGTTCTATTTGTTTTTAGTTTATTCTTGGTCTTCTGCTTATTGCTATGCTTATTTCGGTCTTATGTCGTACGCTTGACTTCATTCCTTTGTCTTTCCCTTTCTCGGCTTATAACTAAAGTTATGTCCTATAGTRAAAACCAGGCTTAGTTGTTTTSTTGTTCAATTTCAGCTYGTCATGGTGGGAGTTGGGCAAATTGTTGGATTATTGTTGAACCTGCGAACCTTTGTTGTTGCGAACAAACTGGTTTACATAATCAGCTCAGGGCCAGAGGTGTATCAACTCCTTGTYAAGTTTCTGAACATATTAATAGGTATGACATTGGGTAATGGGAAACGCCGCCATTTTGTGCAGCAAAGCACGATGGTAGTTGTAGTTCTTATACTTATCATAGACTGTAAAATATCTTCTTTTAAGGCTTTAAATAAAGCCTTTTTTGAGCTTTCTTTGTAGAAACGGCAAAAGCATTTCTATGTTGGCCTAGAAAAAGGAAAAAAAAAAAAAAAAAAAAAAAAAATTTTAGCGGACATGAAAAAGTACGAGGAATACAACTACCATCATGCTTTGCTGCATAAAATGGCGTCTCTGTACATTGTCTGTTAGGATTGTTATTCGAAGGGCTTTCATATATTGCATATCAAAGAATTGTATATCATTCGTGCGGGTTCCCTGTGCTTTTTAKTTTTGGCCTTCCTTTAGCGAATCCATGCCATATATGGAAACAAACAAAATGGCGGATTGTTTAGAAGTGTTTTCGCTATAATATCTGCAAGTTTCAGACGRTTTCAAGCTTTAAAAGTCGAGAAAATCCACACAAAAAAACATTCCTATCGAACTTCCAAATAAGGTAAGATTACCATATMTGGCTGCTAAACGAAGGACAACTTTTGTGGGGCAATTCTTTGATATGGCACATGAATGGGGGTGGGGAGAAAACGATTGGCTGTTCGAAGAAATTAATATATGCACAATAAGTTTAGGTTTTCTCTGGTACTCATTCGCTAACAAAAAAAGAAGAGAAAAATATAGAATAATGTGTAGATAGGTTAAGAATGAATTAACTAAAAGAAATTATTGATAAATGGATWAAAGTTAAGCGATAGACCTAATCGGCTTCAACCCAATTCAAACCACCCGGGAGTAAGTTTCATTGTTCGTTGTATTTTCATTTCACAGTTGAATTCTTAGCAACAAAAGTTCTTTTTCCCACATGATTTGAATTGGGTGGCAACGTACATAGCAACGCCGGTAGCCGATTAGGTCTATATATGGTAAAAATATTTTCTTTTTGCTATAGTATCGTTCTTGGTATCAATACTCGTATCAGCCATTTATATGTACTTCCAGATGTATCGTATGCTTGTCAGCCACAGGTATAGTATACGAATCGTTGAGTCTTTACATGTYATAGCGAAGTTGAGAAACACCAAGATATATACAAAAGAAAACAATGCAAAAGTTTTTATAACGTCAAATTGGGAATTTGTATCTTAGGCCCGGTTCATACGTCGTGCTATCGTTACGCCGAACCAAATTGTCAATTGGTGTCGACCCAAATGTATTTGGTTTGGCGTTGATTCATACATCGAAWCAAATGCAGTCAAAAGCATAAGAAAAGGTCCGATAACACGCAATTTACATCCATTATTATTGTCGAAAACAGATATTTTTGTGCGTTAAGTTCGGCACGACGAAACTCGACGTTTGAATCAACGTCGAGCTTTTGTCGTGAAGCACGACTGACTCTGCCGTGCTACAGTCGTGCCGAACACAATTGATTCATACGTCGAGCTGTTCATGTGCTAAATTCAAAGCATTTGGTTCGGCTTGACGATGGCTCGACGTATGAACCGGTACCTAGAACCCTCCTAAGAAATCCAGGGTACGCACAAAACTCTTAATTTTCGATATATTTTTTTTACGCAGACCTAAATTGAGAGTAAAATGCTGGTGAATTATTAGAATTTTTCTTGTATTTTAAATGTTTATTCGTTCTTAACTCATATATGTATTAGTAATTATTATTGTGGTGTTTTGGAATGTAGAAATCACGTGATCAAGCTCATCAAGGGAGATCGTCGTTTCCTTCCCAATAGCCTCAGCGATCCACATATCATGGTGGTAAGTTGCACCAATAAACGCAATAAAATGTAGAAGATCAAAATGAGTCTGACTCGAGATTTCATATATGGATGTACATACACACGGCGCTCAACGATAAAATGATTTCTGGTTTTGGCTGGTACTTTTATCTATTGGTTATTATTGCCAGTATTAATTAACTTAACGCCTAGAAATCACAAATTAAAATCCATTGATTAATCCCTTTACGTAGCCTCTCTTATTCATACATTTTAATTGTCTTTTTTTTTACGCTGCAGAATTTTTTGCCTTTCAATATAGTGCGTTTGCTGAATAAAGGAATTTATGCATGGTTTCGAGGTTAAGGCTGCGTAAATGAGATCTCGAAAACGAGATTATTATACTAAAAAAATGAGGGTATCATTTGAGTTTTAATTATTTGTTCCAGGGAATGAGCCTCCGATTTGCTGGCTACCAGGTTGCTTACTTCATTTGGGGTAGGGCCAAATAATGATCAAGAATARCCCTTTTCGCATTTAGAAATGACAAGTTGCGCGAGGGATCTGTGGTTTGCGAGGAAGACTCGGGCAACAACTCAAAAGTTGTTGAGGTTTTTTTTTATTTTTGCAATGTCAGGAAAATAATTTTTGTTAGGGAAAAGTCATAAATTTGACATGATCTTGCACTCTTGTTCATTTGAGGGCTGCAGCCGCCTTGCTTTTTACCGCAAACGGCCCTCTTTCACTATGACGTCATAGCTTGTCTTGAGTCGATGCTTTGTCACGATCACCTTACAAGATGGCGCAAGAAATCGGGAGATTGGATGTAGTTTTTTTTAGGAAACAAAATGAAAATTTCTCTCTCTTTTCCAGGATTTTTATTGGTAGCATTTGTCTTGCTGGTAACGACTCTTTTTATTTCTGCCCTTGTACTTTTCCTTCCCTTGGTATTTGAAGATGACCTTGAAGATGAGTTTGCTAAAGTTGCTCTTGCTTTTGTGTAAGTGAAGCTCAATTGATTTTAATAAATGATGAGAAAAGTTTCCTATGATAATGGTGTAATCGTTGTTGTGTTTGGAAGTCCTACTGTAGGAATGGCTATCCTAGTCTTCGTGGTTCAGCAAATATTGGCTCGCTTTGTATTCAAAGACAGGTCAATGGTCAGCAAAGTYGTTAATGTTCACAACAGGTAATGATTCATAATATCTTTGTCAATAAATTTGTTATAAAGGAGGTATCAGTCTGTTGTATTTATACAGGCGCCTTCGTAATACTGAAATATTATCTAATGAAAGAGGAGTCTTTAATAAAATGGTTAGCCTCCGTGCGGACGAWCCAAAACTGTTTTTATGTTCGTCTGCAAATTAGCGACGGTGATCGTCGGTGTTACGTGTACCATGTATTTTGATCTTCTTGGCTGTTTAGTTTTGAGGTCGCTTGTTACTTTAAATCTACCTTCACCTTTGACTGAAATCTCCGACTAATAGTTTTGACAATACTTGGACAGTAGCGTTCCATAAAACACAGTCAATCACACCAAGCTAGAAAAACCGAGAAAGTCCGTACCTATACTGATACAGATGTTGACATATGCACGACCTGGCGCGAATTTACTGTAGCCAATGAGCCCGCTCATTAGAATTCAAAAATAAACATCCAATGAAAGCGAGGTACATATATTTAAGGAATAAAAGACGCTACGCGTCGTGGTTTCCTACGCTTCTCTCGTGCTCTCCCTACATCCCGCGTGTTTTGATCAGAGTATCAAACACGGAATTCCGTCTTTTATTTCTTTTCTAAAATTAAAAGAACTAGACGATCATGGATCGCTTACGTGGGCTTCCTGTGACAATGGTGTTTCATTTTCACAATATAGTCTTTGTTTGTAAT